TCCAATCGGAATCAATCCAAGTTGCGGTCACACCTATGAAAGCTAAACGATTTCCTTTCGTTGTCCATCCATTGTGGACAAGGCAAATCCTGCCTTTATTACCCTGCAGTGTACAAACGCAAGTTAGATGGATGTTCTTTAAATCATTGATAGAAGAGATTACCGCTTACTTTAATATTGCTAATCAACTGGTTGTATAAAGAAGAATGTAATTCCTTGGCAGTAGCAGCAGCCCAAGTGGGGCTCCTGAGATTGGCCTTGGGATGGGTGAGATGAAAGGAAGCCCTGAGTGTTGGGTCTTGAAATCGGACCCATGGAAGGGCATGTCGCAACAGCCAGATGACCAATAAAACGTTCAGGATGTCGACGTTGAAAGGTGGTTGGTTGACATATGATTTCATCAAGGCAGCGGATGATGATTCGTTTGCTGTAGCTTTAAGGGACTTGTTTCGTTCTTGGTAGGTAGGAGGAAGACCATGATTTTCCTCCTTCATTGCTTCGCTACGTCCAGGACATGGAATTCGATTCTTATCGCCGTCTCAATGGCCATAGAGATTGCTATTTCCATCTATACCCCGTGCAAAAGTCTCAGGACAATACTGGCACTCATAACCACGTAAAACTCCGATTGGCTGTTATAAAGAAATTGGTCAGTTAAATCCATGCTGAAGTCATGATAGATATCAAAACAAACTCACATCATCGATGAGTTGGACTGGTTGGGATTTATAATAGGACAAAAGATGTGATACTCTTTTGCTTTGAGTTTGGAATGGCTTCGCAGGAGCCGCGGTGGGGCTCACTTGATCAACATCGACATTGTCAGGTACTGTAAAATCCTGAGAAGAATCCAAGATTTACAAAAGTAAATCAACATAAGTTTAAAAACATAGATCTACCTGGTACGCTTACAGTGACTGTTTTCCGGGTGCCTTTACCTTTATCTTTGGCAGTAGCAGTAGTCTTTTGAGTTTTTTTGGCTGGCTGAGGTTGAACTTCAGAGTCGGCGGCGCGCTTCTTGGGGCGAGGAGCTGGAGGTCGTGTTGGGGTAAGAAGTGTTTCAATTTCTCCAGCTCCAGACTCTGTCACATCTTCTTCTGGATCATCGTCGCTTTCTTCTTCTTCATCAGGTGCATATAGTGACCTCCGAGAGTCGGCCGAAGTAGGAACAAAACCAGGTTCACGACAAGCAGGGCTAACCCGTGTAGAGCGGCGAGATCGAGAGGAAGTTTGAGTGGGCTGGGAACTCTGAGTCTCAGGAGCAGATAATAAAGAGGACATTGATTCAGCCTTGAATAACTTAAGTGAGGAAAGTAAGATGAAAATGTAATGAATGAAAGGGAAAGCACGAAGGAAGAGAAACAATGAGGAGAAAGGTGGGCCAAGGAAATAAAAAGACGATGGAAACGAACAAACCCATGAGAATATTAAACCATCCCTTGCTTGTGTTTTGAGACCCCTTGCTTGTTTGAGTCGAATTTATCTCAATCGGGTTGAACAAGCACATAAGTGTCGAATGCTTACCATCTTGGGAATCTGATTCTTGAGGCTGAAGAGTACCGGAGTGATCGTATTGCACTCCGAACTACGGTGAGAATACTTCATAATACGTAGACAGTGCTACGGTCACCCCTCCTAATTCTTGGAGGATTCCCAGACTACGGTACGGTTTGACCGTAGCGGGTCGGACCGCAGCCTACGGTCTCCAGACCGTACCGCACCGCACCGTAGACCGTTTTTCTCTGCGGTTCGGTTTGTGTGTTGATATCACATTCTTGTCAACCAAAATCACATTTCTAAATTCTTCACACCCTTGTTACAGCTTTGTAACACCCTTTTTTCAAATTTTAAAAGGTACCTTTCACGGTACAGAAGCCCTCACACCACCTACCATCCATTAACTGGATCAATTGAAAAATGAAGCTTGATTTTGTTAATTTGATCATCCTTTATATCCCATCAGTCTTTGGTTTTTGATGATAGTCTTAAACAGATCCATATTGTTGTGGCTCTTTGTGTGATGACTTCATTGGTTTTTCTCCATAAGTTTTTGAGTTAGATCATGAGTGAAAATGTTGAAGTTAATGACAATCAATAATGACAATGATAGTCATTATTGAGTTTGTTTTGAACTTAATCCATTCAATGGTCAATCACACCAAGCTTCCATGTTTCAAGGTGATTTTGATCTTGAATTGGATTTATATTAGATTGAAAAGAAACTGATGAGAACAGAGGAGGAGGAAAGACAAGGAATGAGATTGCCAAGGAGATAAGGTCCAAGGATGAATGGTTTCCAGCCATCCTTGATTGCCTCCAAATCAAATGAATCATGACCGCTTCTTTCATGATTTTTCACAAAGTCTCAAATTTAATTGTGGTTTTTCCCAAAAAAAACGTTTCTACATGTAGAAAAGTGGTTGCTCAGAATGCAATTTCTCAAATTCCCCACTAAGTGGACACAGCCTAACAGTACCATATTTGACCTTAACATATTGTACAAAGCCATGCACTAAATCTTAAGGATCAGTGCCAAGAGCCACTCAAACACCTGTACATAATAGCTGTGTTCAAACCTAACCTGGTTGCCAAAAACTCTGGTACACCCAGTTTCAGCCCAAGTTCCTAAATGGAGGTAATATGGAGGATTAGGATAAGATGTTCTTACAAAGTTTATACTTCAAAGGTCTTTTGATACCTTTGGAACTCTGCAAGTTTTTTTATTCAATTCTTTGTAAGATAGAAAGAATTATAATCATTATTTATGATGGTCTAAGGTGCATGGTGGTTACCGGTGCTTAACACACTGCAAATATAATGTGTTTCTCCAAGGTAAAAAATGATTGAACCTCATGCACAAAATCATTGATAATGCAGATTTAATGCAGATTTAATGCATTTTTAATCATTTTTCACCTTGGACAAACCCATTATATTCAAAGTGATAACTCACCAAGGTGTTGTTCACTATGGAAATCTTCTTAAGGCCAGAATACAAATACAAACAATTCTGTAGGCCACACTTTCAGTGTTGGTTGATTGCTGTAAATCAAAAAAGTGGTTGAAAGAAGAGCTTTAGTTGGATGGTCAATAGCAAACAATCTATAACATCTTTGAGAGTAAGAAAAGATGGGATGAAAAACAGAAGCAGTCTTTTAAGGTCAGATGTTGGAATGGATGAATCTGTAAGATAAACATTCAAGTGTGTTGGGTAACCCTAAACCTAACCCTCTGTTGATGGGTTGAACTTGTAGGTTTGTGTACTCCTATACTATACCAAGTATAGCTCAACTATAGCCCAAGTATATAGTATAGTATAGTATAGTATAGTATAGTATAGTATAGTATAGTATAGTATAGTATAGTATAGTATAGTATAGTATAGTATAGTATAGTATAGTATAGTATAGTATAGTATAGTATAGTATAGTATAGTATAGTATAGTATAGTATAGTATAGTATAGTATAGTATAGTATAGTATAGTATAGTATAGTATAGTATAGTATAGTATAGTAAACAGTCACAGCCTTGAATCATCTATCAACTTCATCCTCTATAATCTATTGATGTGATTGTTCATTCATCATTTTTGACTCCTCATCTATCAATTTCATCATCATTCATCTATCATTCATCTGTAATCTACAAAAATCCAAGTTCAAGTTCATAAAAATCATACCAAGAAAGACCCCAACAATTGTAAAACAAAAGACAACAATTGTAAAGAAAACCCCACAACAACATCATACAAAAACAAATCAAAAACAAAAATCTAAATAAGTTGTAAAAATCAATCACTCATGAATTTTTTGTTTCAAGCAAAAAAATAAATAAAGACTTCATCAAGATCATCAAAAGTTAAAAATCAAAATTGTTTAAAACAAATCATATACTATGTAGTAAGAAATTCAAACAATATAAAAGAAAGGGGAAGAAGAGGAAAACAGATTCTTGTATTGAAAAAAAACAGAAAGAGATCAATAATTCAATAATAATAATAATCTTTAATAATAATAAATCTCAAAAAATCATCTAAAAATCATCTAAAAATCATCTAAAAATCATCTAAAAAATCGTCTAAATCTAAAAATCATCTAAAAAAACAGATAAAAAAAACCAAAACCAAAACCAAAGAATCAAATTCAAACAAACATATATTGGCATATAAAGAAATCAGAAGAGAAAACCCTAATCCAAAAGCTCTTGACTCGAGTATGTTTCATTTTTTCAAAAATCACAATCAAAACTTTCATTGAATTTCACTAATCAACTTTACTAATCAGCTCTTCTTTTTTCCAATCTTATTCACCCTTTTCTGTACCCAAACCTCTTCCCCATTCCCATTCCCACTCCCACTCTCGTTACTCTGATTCCCACTCCCATTCCAACTCCTAAACCCCACTCCATCCAACCCATTCCTCTGTTTCCTAAAATCCGACTTATGACTCTGACCAGTCGTAGGAGTAGATCTAGAAGCCACATGAGTAATCGATCTCACAAACGGACTTAAAGTCCAATTCTGTCTCGAAAGTGATGCTAACAAGTTCACATTCTCCGATGAAGATGATCCTGATCTGAATCCTTCATCTTCCAATCCCAACAAATCGATTTCCTTCTCATCTGTTCCTGTTTCTTTCGACTTCATCTTTTGAAATGACGAAGAGGATGTGGATGGGAATGGAGTACTGCTAGAAAAAGGTGAAGAAGGAGCAGTAGAAGAAGAGAATCGAGTGATGATAGGGGACTGTGTATATGGACTAGTCATCATTGATCTTGATGAGAATTAGCTCCATATCTTGTAGGTGTCGTATTCGTATTCGTATTCGTATTGGTATCAGTCGAAGCTAAATGAATGAACTTAATTTACTTTCATTTAACCCATTCGTAGATCTACCATTCATAAAACCATTCGAAAACCTTTCCAATCTAGCATCTCTCAACCCCAAATCTTCTTCTTCCTCTTCTTCTTCTTCTTCTTCTTCTGTTTCATGATTTCGACTAGGTCCCCAAATCGGACTAGCTAATTGAGTTTCAGTTGAAAAGACTCTTCGATTACTTCTACTTGATGATGATGATGATACTCCTCCTGTTCCTCCTCCTCCAAAAGACGAAGAAGGAAATGTATGAGGACTTAAAAGTGCAGATTGTGATCTTAAGATTCTTGGTTTCGAAGTTAATCTAGTAGGCGTATTAGGTGCAGAATGATTGATCACTTGATCATGATCAAGTCCATCGATTTGAGAGCTTGAAGAGAGGCGTGGTAGAGAGTAAGGAGGGGGAGGTGTGGAAGGATCAGATGGAGGGTTCGGTATGATGTTTTCGTCTTGAGGATCATCATCGGATTCTAAAACTGCACTCAAACCTTGAGTTCTAGCTTTCTTGGCTACCAAAGACCGATACCGATTGAACTTTCCAATGAGAGGTGGATGGGATGGTCTAAGTCCATAAGTAGGATCATAAGATTCCACACAATCAGGTACCGAAGCAGGTGAAGGAGATTGGTCCCGACTTCTAGGTTCGACTAGAGATGAAGGTCTTGAAGATAAAAGAGGAGAAGACGAATGAATGGTTGTTGAAGGCTTTGGATTGATCGGTTTAGATGAATTGGTAGATGAAAGATTAGATTGAGATTTAATCCAACGACGACTAAGATGATGAATGATCCCAGGTAATTCAGTCCTAAACAATTCTCTTAATTGACGTTCGATTTCAGATTGAACAAAAGCTTGAATAGCCAAAACCGAATCAAATGTCGATGAAACTTGTACACTCTCTAATGGATCGTTCTTGAAGACTAATGTAACACCTTCTAATCTTGAAATCACCAAGACTACAATCGCTCGAAGTTTTAAACATGATAGTTTTAAATTCATGGGAACTATTAAAGGTGTTGAAGCGAATAAGATCGAAGGACTTGAAAGTATATCAGGAGAAGTAGCTGAAGTTTTAGATCGTAAGGGATTTGCCTAAACCCCCCCAAAAAGAACACACTCAAGATTAGTTTTTTTGATGTGAATTTGGTTTTGGAAAAGATTTGTTAGAAATCAAACCTGGATTTTAGTTTGTAAACCTATTGAAGCATCACCAGCATAAGTTAAACGAAAGATACCTCTAAATCGATCTGTACCTAAATCACCAATCTCTAAGATTTCTAAATCGGGTGGCTATTACAAAAAATTTATCATGAAAAAGTCAATTCAAAGTCAATCTTCAATCTTCAACTTCAACTTCAAAAAGATCTTCTTACGATCGTACCCATATCTAAATGAGCTACATCTATTCTATCAGCAATAATCGGAGGTTTGTCTCCTTTGTTGAGAGCCTGAGATTAGAAAAAGAGAATCGATGGATTAGTTTATGGTTGAATGAGTTTGATGGTAAGAATTGATGATTACCGAACATAATAAATCTTTTGCTTGATCATAAAATGAATCTGAGAAGAATGGCCAATCGAATCGAAATGACATGAATCGGATTGAAGTGATAGTGGTTGATCTTGAAGTTTTTTGGTAAACTGAATTCTATTTTCTAGAATGTATGCTATGGTTAAGTACTTTTTTTTTAAAAATGAATTATATTAAAGTACAGTTTGAATTGAAACTGCTGATTTTAATGAAACAGTTTGATTGAAGCGATCAAACTTAATCAACTTCATGAGTCTTGATGAGCTGTCTGTTTGAGTCTTGAGTCTTGTTGAACCAAGTCATGTTCAAGTCAACCAATCTTTCTACAATTTCGCTCTGATGAACTCAAAAAGCATCTCAACTTTGTAAACAGCTTCTTTAAGTTTGATTTGAGAGTGTAAATCCATCCAAGATTGATGAGCGCAGTAAATTAATAAAACCAAAGTTCACTGTTGTAACCGTGTACCCCAACCAAACCAACCAACTACAAATCAAAACCACTGTCTTGATTCCCGGTAAACCAATCCATCAAACCTCAACCAACCCCCCAAAAATATGTCATCAATACCACCCTTACCAAGCTACATAAAAGACACCAAGTTTATAATCTTAGCCACCATAACCGTTCAAGATGATCAAACCGATCAAATCAAATCAAAGTTATTAAATATTCAAAAAAAAGCAAAGAGTGATGAAGAACCAGGTACATTAAGGTAATTGTCGTCTTCTTTCTTTCTTTCTTTCTTCGTTTATTTTCGATTTTTACAAGTTTTGATTATTTTTGATTTTTTGGTTCAATAGTTATCGAGTTCATCAATCATTTGAAACTCCCAATAAGTTTACAATCTATGAAGAGTATGTCCTCTTTTACACTCTTTTACTCTAAATCACAACAAAACACCCACTCATCATCCTCAATGTTTTTGACTTCTTTTTACTTTTCGATTGCGTGTTATCGATCGTGATTTTATTCGATTTCGATTTTTGATGTTGAAGATACGAAAATAAATCAGGACTAGAATCTCATTTAAAATCCACCGAATTTCAAGACCTAATGAAACTTCAATCAAGTTTTTCATTAGATTCAACTGTACGTCACATTTCTTCAAAATCTTATATTCCAAAACTTGTAATGAAATTGATTCCTCAATCATTAACCTTTTTCTTTCCATTTACTTTTGTTATTTCTTAATCAAAACAAAAACAATGGGTTCTTTACACCATAGTTCTTACAAGAACTATAAAAAATTCATTCTTATGTATGTGTTCCTTCTAAATCAATCAATAAATCAATCAAAGTAAACCAATTTACAAAAACCCATCAATCGGTTTGTTTTATCCTTGAGATTCATACAGTCAAATCGGAAAAGCTTGACCGATTTTGCCCGCAAAACTCGAGCAATTTGGCGGGGAATTTGTGACAAGATTTTCTGGTTTGACTGTATATGGTAGTAGTCTAGTATGAATTGATTTCTTAAATGAAAAGAAACTTCATTGATATTTGCACTCGACTTGTTTTTATCCTATAAAACCAAAAAAAAACATGAAGAAAAAACCACATGATTGTGTGTGATCAAATCAAAAACTTGTAATCAAAGAGAACATTTAAACTATAATAAATGGTTTAAAACCCTTTCTCACCAACCTTTTGCTGTGCTCATCTAGGTCCCAAAGCTTTGTGTGGTTGTAGTTAATCATTTTCAAATTACAATCAGGTGATGTCAAGTTGGCTCACACAGCTTCACCATTAGCTTTAGATCCTCTTAACAGTGTAGCTTGCACACACCCTTCTTACTTTTGTTTTTCTGGATCTGGTTTCCCATCTGGCAATGGTACCACTTCCAACTCAACACTCAACTCTACTACATAGGCTTTAGCTCCCCTCCCCTCTAGCTGAACATAAAAACCCTTATAAATCATAAAACTACTTTATTTTTACATTCAAAAAAAACCCTATCATACATTTACTTTTCAAATTCTCCTCTACCCAAAGAAAACACCACCCTACCCAAAGAAAACACCACCCTACCCAAACCTTCTCACAAACCCACCAAAAACCAAAAACCACAACCCTTTCTCCAACTCATCTTTTTTTCCAAACCAAACAAATAATCAATCCAAACCAATCCAAGACCCCAACAAAAAACCCACCCACCCACACACACACACACCAAACCTCACACCAAACCTCACACGCAAGTTTACATCAAGCTTTTTTTTTGGCGTTGAATTTCGTTTGATTCTCATTTTCGAATAAAATGACCCGTTGCACCTTGAAATAAAGAATACCACATAAACGCTTGAGAAAGTAATAATTCCGTATCACTTTCGCTCCATTCATTTGTGGGTAACGATTGTAAAAAGATGATGATTGACTTGATCATTCCAATTCATCAATCAAAACAAATCCAAATCATAAAAATCAAGAATCAAGAATCAAGAATCAGTTTGAATTACCACAGATATCAGAACCAAAGAAAAACACGATTTCTACGGTTTTTTTTTCTTTTATATAAACTTTTTTAAGAAAAAATGAAAGATTTGATAAACTTACTTGAAAATCCATAGATTGTAATTGTTCCGAATACTTTACTAAAAAAGCCACACACACATACAAATGAAATTCCGAAAAAGCCGTTGTTCCTTCTGCCTATACATACCAATCGATCCACCCCCCGCCGCCGAAAAAAAAAACATAGAACATTCCAAAAAAAAAAGTCAATCAGAAAAAAAAAAAATCAGTAAGCAAGAAAAAAAAGACTTCCTTACAAGATATGTATCCCACATTCTAATAATCTTCTTGGTACTTAATTCTCTCATTAATAAACAATTAATCCATCTAAACGAAAATTGAATAAACTCTACTTTTTCATTCTCAAGATGTTGATGTAAAGGAGCTAAAAAAACCCCAAAAAAAGAAACCCAATAATCAATAAACATCCTCAAGAGATTTTTTTCTTCATGGAAAAAAAACCAAACAAACCATCCACTCTTTTACAAAGTTCTTTCATTCTAGCCACTAATCTTTGAATACCAGGTTGAGCAAAAATATAATTATCTTGAATGCCATCCAAAAGTTTTGACAAACACCAAAAAGAATCCGCTTCAATGGATTCCAAAACTTCCGTCGGTAATTCAGCTACATCAAATTCTTCTGGATCAGTGGTAATATAAGATGATAAGAACACTTGAAAGAATGGGGTCACTAAATCATTAATGCCTTGTACATAACCACTGGCTGGATGTCGAATTGCCCAAACATACAGAATCCTTTCTAAACTCTAAACCAAATCCAAACCAAAAAAAAAAAGAATCAATGATTTAGATTGGATTTCAAAAAACACAAAACAAAAAAACCCGATCAAAGTCCTTACTCTTTGTGTAGCAGGAAATTGCCAAAGAGCCACCCCAGGATTAGTTCTAGGAACATCAATATGAATCTGATGCCAAATAGTTTGATCTAAACCTTTCCCAAAAGCCAATCGAACAGCATCCGAATACTCTTGTCTTTTCCGTGCGAGAACCGAAACTCTTCTCTGAGCCGGTGCCGGTAAATAGCCTAATAAGATTTGCCATACGATCGATCTTAGTTTATCTGGTATACCTGACCATGATAGTTTCCTTAGTTCTGTCACTTCGATTGATGGTTGGGTTAAACATTGAAGAAACTTTTTTTCTTTTCGGTGTTGTGAACTTTCGGTTTGAGTGATCAATGGTGGTGCTGGTGCTGCGGGTTCTTGAGGTGTAGAAGGTGTTGAAGGTTTCGATAGGTTTGATGTGGGGTCTTGGTTGATGTGATCTGAGGGTGAGATATGGGTAGAGAGAGTGGTCGGATTACTTGTGCCTAGGATTTCGGCTGGAATGATGGCTTCCCATGGAAGTGGAATCGATCCGGTTCGTTTGGGCGCATGAGGGATTGGTTCAACTGGAGTTTCGTATGCTAATTTAAGCTGGTTAAGTACATGAGCCGGGTCTTTGAGGAAATGTTAGTTCTGATTCAATTTATATATTTCTTGATATTGAAAAAGTATGATCATTCACTTTACTCACCTCGCATCAATTCAGCAAAATCCTTCCGAATAGGTGAAGTGAGTTCTGGTAGAGCTTCCTTAACGTCTGTAAGAGTTGTGATAGGTTCTTTAGAATCATGATTCGAGTTGATGACATTAGAAGTAGGTGAAAATGTAGGTGAAACACTGAAAGGTGGAATAGAAGTAGATGAGGATGCTTGAGGAGATTGAGCCTGATTGGTTGGAGTAAGAATCGTATTTGTCGGTCGATCTGAATTCACTTTATTAGATGAAGCAGTAGGATGATGATTATGATGATGATTAGAAGTCACATCCCAAATCCCACGTCCACTTCCACTTTGAATAGATGGGATTTGATCATGATTAGACTTGATTTGATGAGTTGATAAAGTAGGATGACTAAGTGAAGAAGAAATCTTTCGATGAGTGTTTGATCGATCATCTGAAGTGGATGGTAATCTGTTGATTCGTTTTGTAAATTGTTCTACATCATCATCACTAACATCATTCCATGCATCTGTTTCTTCTATGACTTCTCTTTCGGCTGCTGCTTCTACTGCATTGGCTGATTCTCTTTGTGAAACTTTTTCTGAATTTCGTCTTGGTGAATTAGGAATTTTGGTTTGCAAGGTTTGGTTTTTCATTTGAGCAGAGGTGTTCATATTGTAAGTTGATTGATTATTATGATGATGGATAGGCCAGGATTGGATGAGATGATTTTGAGTTTCAGTGAATGGTTTACTGATTTTGTTTCTTGGATGATAAGGTGAAGAAAGTTTCTGATGAGCGTTTGAAGTTTGAAGTCGTTTATGATTTGATTTGATAATGATAGTTGAGGATGAGACTGAGAGTGAGCTTGGAACCGAATTCTGGTTGTTGTTCTGGTTCTGATTAGTTTCAGTTTCTAGTCGATCGACTGTCAACTGTCTGTCAGTGTTATGAACAACACCACTACTCAGACTAAGTACCCCCCTACACCCACTCTTCGTAACACCACGCCTCACACTCACTCCACCACCACTATGAGCTATCGGTGGACTAACAATCGATGGATCAGACCAATCAGGTGGAGTTGGAACAAATGGAATCAAATGAAAAAAGATAGGTGGTACTGATGAATTCGAGTTAAACGTAGTAGTTGGCATCGGAAGTGGTGGTAAAGGTCTATGCCTATCTACAATAGCCTCTCGGCACAACATCAATCTATCTACTTTGCACGATGCACTATGCTATGCTAATGTATGTGGAAATTTGAAATGCCAAAAAAAAGGTCAAGGGATTGGTGAAAAGAAGTGGAGAGATCTTGATCAGAACAAAAGGCAATTGAAGGAGGCAAGGAGAATAATTTACATCGAGATGTTCAATTGAAGGATACGGATACGATGGAGTAGTGGAACATCAGATAAGACAGTTCAATCAAACTTGAATGAAGATAATTAAACCTTTTGAAGGCTCCACTTCTCATGGAAATGGTCTTATAGAACTCTATCAATCAACTCAGAATGATGATCAACGACTATCACCACACTATTCACTTGATGGTAAATAGGATCAATAAATTGAAATCAATCAAAAAATCTCGAAGCGTATAGCCTATAAATCATTCCTAAGGCTATAAATCTTCTACACAATGTTGGAATATTGAGATGACCAAAAGTGTAAGGAATCAGACCAAACTGGCGGTAGATACGTTAAAGTGAAGAATCAGTCGATGTATAGAACTTCCAACTAAGATTCAATCCTGACTGAAATCTTTTCCCCAATCCATCTACTTTCTGACTATAGAGAAGATTCACCCAAACTCCGTGGAGCTCAAGAGTGTGTGGTGTTTTTATAAGATCCACCAACTCATTCCTTGGAGTGTTGTATCTTCACACAGCCGAAATATAACTCACAAGCCTACATCTCACCTCTCACTTCGTCATAGTATGGGCCGAGTTTAAGCAGTTGACGAAAACCCTGAACATTGATCATGTTGTACTATAGGACTTCTCAAGCTTTTTTTTCACGCAATCTCCGGGGTCATGCAAGAGTGAAATGCCCACATTCCACTCTTTCATTGGGTATGTATCCACCCACATGCCGTATTTTATCTTCTGCTTCAAAATCATAAGCATGCACATGCACCCAACATGATCATATGTGCTTTTGCTTTGAGCATGTGCTCAATCACATTGTAGATCAGCTTTCAATCCTGCAAAACTTGATTTTCGTGATACAAAGTAAGGAGCATCAACATTGATCACACGCAATCTCTCGCTATCATCACCTGAAGCGAATGATTGTTTAATCATAACCTTCAAATTTCACATCACCCTCAATTCTTGCCTTTAGATACCTAGAAACACAAGATTCAAGCAAATCTTCTCATCCACCTATACTAAATGTCTTAACGAGTCACACCACACACTGTCTTTTGTATCATTACAGAAAAGAGACACAGGTCATCTTTAAGGACCTACTCTTGAAAAAAAAACCCAAGAATTTCCGGTAGACTGGCATTCAACTTGCTATGAATCAAATTTCAAAGCTAATGCCGAAGGAATGCCCTCACTGAAGGACAAAAAAGAACAGCTGCCTCAACAGTGAGTCGAACACTGGACCTTTTGCTGCCATTCCATGTCAAATGTACTAGGCAAACGCTCTACCACTGAGCTACTAAGGCAGATGACGTCATTTCCCAAATGCAGGTTATCAATCTTGGAGTCCAGAGCAGGAAGGACTTGTGCCAGTGTATCATGATGTGTCTTGTGATTTTTTGGAAAAAGAAGAGTCAATGAGCCTATCATTTCACCAATTGTATTGTGTTCAATTGAGTCCAGTCCCAAGAGCCACACCTCAAGTCCAAAGAATTGAAGATGAATGTCTGCATAAGTGGTGGATGTTTGGTGTACAATAATACTAAATCCAGCCTGGTTCTTCGGAGAGTTGCGGTATCAGTCTTCCTCTGAGACTACCTGAGAGGATCTCTGAGACATACAGGGATAGTATAATTTTTTTCTCGGGTGGCGCCTGATTTGTAAGAGGGGTGTTTCTTTTTTCTCTCTGACCTTCTTGGACTTGAAGTTGGAACGGGTTTTAACATAAGGGAATAGGTGCTGAGTTAGGTAGTCTTGTGAAATCATAGAATGGCTTATCCAAGTTTCTCTTCAATCTTGTTCCTTATGACGTCTTTCGGTAAAGAGCTTTTTGTATGGTTTTCTGATTCTTTGTTAGATCTCTTAAAAACCCGGTTGTCAAATTTGAAGCTTGTCTTTCTCTTTACCATCCGATTATCATCTATTAGTTCATCCATTAAATTATCATCGTACTCTTATTCTTTACTTAAACTTTAGCTCGTTTTTTGTTTTCCCACCATCCCTCCCATTAGGGTTGTAGTTCATTTTTCTTATTGTGGTGTTAGTTTAGACCGCCCCTAGGGTCTCTGGTTTTTCTCTCATTGCAATTCGCTCAGGCCCCCCGGGGTCGTCCAGCGTTTTAGCATCTTACAGAAACTTTAGCATCTCTTATTTCAAAAGTATTCCGCATTCTCAAACCTCTTCCCTACCCAAGCCTGTACGAACGTCTTTTGTGCAAGTGATGGACCCAAGAAATTTGCTCTGGATTGCTTCAAATGAGCAATGGATCCATGTCTGTGTAGGTTCATGTAAGAGCCGCTTGTTAGATCTACTACGGTCCAATGATTGGACACTTAGGCGGCCGTCCAGAAATGATAAGGTGATCATCAATCTACCCTTTTTGAATCGGCCGTTCAGAAGCGATAACATGATGATTATCTTGGTTTTCAACCATACTATACTATGGTGAATCAGTCAAATTCATCAGTTTCAATCGCATCAGACTTTGAAGTGATGCGGAACACTTGTACAACTTGATTCACTAATGCCTCAAGTCAGATCTGACTGCGTGTGCGTCGTAGAAGGTGATAGCTTTGATTTGGGTTTTTATCAGACCTGCGTATTCGATAGGATCGATTGGAACAAACAATAAACAAGAGGATGATGCGGCTCACTACATACGTCACCCTCATTGGCGTAGGTATGCTTGAAGCCATCTACGGTGTAAGGCTTATCAAGACGACTGATTTTTTTGACCATCTTCACATTGAAGTTTGATTTCATTTTTGCAAGTTATTGATATTAATCAAATTTCACTTACGAACAAATCCATGTTTATTTCTGGGAGTATAACCTTCTTTTAAGATCTCAATCACGGATTGAAATACAAACCAAGTAGGAATCTCTTGGCCACTTTATAATAATTTCCTAACTTCAGTTATCCTGAAATATCTTTGATTTTGATTTCTTTTTTGATCTCATTGGTTTGTATTCATTTGTTCTCAAAATCAACATGGTCATTTTTGTAATGAAAAATTTTACGGGTGGAATCATCTTTGTTCCAAGGAGTTGGACAAGACCTGACAAGACCGAGCCATAGGAATGGATTTATAATACACTGTACGTATGAACCATACAGTCCTACAAGCGGCCACCAACCTGTGCGTAAGTGTACAACAAGCCACATTATTTTTCTAAATTTTGGATAGTCTCAGAGATAGTCTCAGAGCGAGATAGTCTCAGAGGGAGACCGATACGGTTACGCTCCCTGGTTCTTGCAAGTCTGACCACCCAGAATTGTTCTGTATTGATTATCTATCATGTGTGGCTTAATATTCCGGTTGGTCACTTGGAATTTCATTGATA